GGAGAGCTCTTGTAAAGTTTCTTACATAATAGCATAAGACAAAAGAAAAAATACCTAAGACCGGGCAAACACTTTTTCTTTCTGCTGCAGTAAAAATGGCAGAAACAATGAACAGTAAATGATCTGTCGACAAACCGAAAGGCATATCTTTGTCAGCAAATACTCTTGAAAGATATGGGGGAAACATTGCCGTTGATTGGAAGAGACGAGTATTAGAGAAAATTACCCAGTGTGGGAGGTTTTCTATACAGTTGACTGAAAGTACAGATGTCTCTAACACATCTCAGCATAAGGTATCTTCTGGATTCTCTTCCAATAATGAAACACACAAACGGATTTTTTTGGTGTGTGAGCCACTAAAGGCAAGCTGGAGCAGAAGAGATGTAATGCCCACAGTAAATGCCTTGTTGAATAAAAGCACTGGCCTGTGGGGAGCATGGTGGACGTTTCGCTGATGGAAGAACTGCTTGGAAAGGATGTTTAAAAGGGATTCTGGGCAAAAGTCAGGGCTCAGCGCCCCCAACTCTCCCACCCATTCTTCCTCCATGGTCAAACCGGCACCATGAGCACACATCAACTTGAATACACTGAAATACCCAGAAAGTGAGAGAATGGGGTGCCGGGTGAGCTTAGGAGAACAAGAGCAGAATTTCTGTGATCTCGAAATAGGTTGGGTGTGGTCTTGAAAGCTTTCCAGGCCAGAAGGAATGAGTCGGGGATAATTGTGGCAAAGTCCTATACTGAGGTGTCCCAAGTCTACCCTGTCCCTTCTCTGCCACGTCTCTGCTCCTGCTGACACAGCCTCACTATGCTGCCTCAGCTAATCTGGAACTCCTGAGCTCAGGAAATCCTCCTGCCTCAGCCTCCCAAGTAGCTGGAACTGTCAGGCTCCTCCTCCCCTCCTTCCTCTCCTCTTCCTCCTCCTCCTCCTCTTCTTTTTCCTCTTTGTTTGAGACAGTGTCTCACTATATAGTCCAGGCTGCCTTATGTAGCCCAAACTGGTCTTGAACTGTGGCTATCCTCCTGCCTCAGCCTCCCAAGTACTAGAAATTAAAGGGCTATACCACCATGCCTGACTCTTCTTCAAGATGTGCGTGCTGACACTTATTTTTTTTAATTCAAGTTAAAAGACAATCTTATTTTACACACCAATCCTAGTTGCCCCCTCTCCCACCCTCCCACTCCCCTACCATCTCTCCACCCCACCCCCATCCACTCCTCAGAGAGAGTGAGGCCTCCCATGGAGGGTCATCATAGTCTGTCATATCATTTGGAGCAGGGCCTAGGCCCTCCCCCTGTGTGTCTAGGCTGAGAAAGTATCCCTCCATAGGGAATGGGCTCCAAAAAGCCCATTCATGCACTAGGGATAAATACTGTTTCCACTGCCAGCGGCCTAATAGACTGACCAAGCTCCCCAGCTGACACCCACATTCAGGGGACCTAGTTCCTTCTTATGCAGGTTCCCCATGCCGATATTTATTAAGGCAATGAGAACTGTCTGTTTAAGTATTTGGTAAAAAGCTTTAAAAAATGTACTTTCCCTCCCTGCTCATGCTCTGTTAGTGAAGATATCCTTTTAATGAAAAAGTAATAGGGGCCCTGTTAGTATTCAGGCATCTGTACTGGCCTATCCTTGGGGTTCTGACAGGATATGCCCTCAGCTGCAGACACGAAGAGCACCACCTGTGCACATTCATTGCTTTTCCTTTTAAAAGGACCCTGCCCACCTCCCTCCATATCCCCTCTTTCTTTCTTTCTTTCTTTCTTCCTTTCTTCCTTTCTTCCTTTCTTCCTTTCTCTCTCTGTCTCATCTCTCTGTCTTTCTCTCTCTCTGCCCCTCTTTCCTCTCCCCTGCTGCTCCTGTCCCTAGAGGCTGGTCTCCCCCTCCTCTTTCCCCTCTTTATGATCCCTTTCCCTAATAAAAACCCCTCTGCTTGAACCCTGTCACATGGCGTCTCTCTCACGTGCTGTTTTTCTTAAATTACAACAGGCACTGTCTTTGAATCTTTGACAATGTTTTGTGGAGGGGAAGGAGAGCTTAGTGACAGATTTGAAAAGGGCTTTCTTCGGATGGTCATGAGCACCCGAGAGAGCATCCATAGAGGCTGGAAGAGTATCACATGGTCTCCTCTAGGACTCTCTGCCTTAACCTTTGAGTCAGCCAGGTTCTGAACATGAACTCACAGCTACCAAGCTCTGGAGATACTTTTGGCTTAGTTCTCCTCAGTGCTGGGATTATAGGTATGTGTTTGGCCATGCCTGGCTTTTTTGTGGGTCCTGGTATCTGAACTCTGGCCCCTCATGTTTGAGTAGCAAGTGCTCTTTCCCCTATCACTAGTCCAGTTCCCGAAAAGGCTTTTCACTGAGGCTTGGTCCTGTGTCAAAAGATGTGTTCTTTAATCCCAGCACTCGGGAGGCAGAGACAGGCAGGTCTGTGTGAATTTGAGGCCAGCCTGGTCTACAGAGTGAATTCCAGGATAGCCAGGCATACACAGAGAAACCCTGTCTTGAAAAAAGAGATATTCAATTATTTATTCTCTCTCTCTCTCTCTCTCTCTCTCTCTCTCTCTCTCTCTCTCTTGTGTGTGTGTGTGTGTGTGTGTACATGCCCAAGCATGCCATGGTTTCTTGTGGCAATCAGAAGACAACACCCTAAAACCGGATCTCTCCTTTTACCTGTACATGGATTCTGAAGACCAAGCTTGCATTGCTGGGCATCCAGCTGTAAGCAGCAACTTTACCGCTGAGCCTTCTCGTTGGTCCCCCAGCAACACGTGTGACTGATAAAGCCCTCAAACACACACTTTGAAGTTTGGGAGTAGAAATTAATCTAATCTGATTTTTGAAATTTAGGTATAATCTATACACACCATGAAATTTGCCCTTTAAAGTGCACAATTGAGCAGTTTTCAGAATATTCACAAAGTTGAACATCTATTATCCAATGTCTAATTCCAGGATAAGTTGTTTTTAAAACTGCAAGTTTTAAAATGAAGAGGTCCTAGGGTTTTGAACAAATTTATAAAACATAAAGGTGTAATGCCACTTGAGCAACTAACTGACACTCAAGAGGACAGAGAGATACCAGCTGGAGCCAGACAGAAGCCTTGTGTAATTGTTGGATGGAATTTAAAAACCAGAATGATTCTGGAAGCACTGCTAATAACGCCTTCCTCCATCCAGCTCCCATACTTTCATGACAGACACTAAAACCTGGAATTGAAATAAACTGCTCTGAGAGCCAGGACTTCAAATTGATGTTTCACAGTGTTAAGTCAAGATTTTAGCAAATAAGGAAACATACTCAATCTTTCTAATATTACTAGTGGGAGCAAAGTGTGTTTTTGTACCTTTATAAATGTACAAATAAATTTGTAATGCTGCAAAATTTACCGGGAAGCACAGCTGATTCCACCTTTATGCAGTTCTTTCAAATATCCGCATTGGGTGGGTTAGTAAAGTGCCAAGTATGACTGTTGGGTGGTGGTCCACAAAGTTCCCAATGTGGATCAGAGAGGATTAGAGTCTGCATCTCCCCTCTAGCTGACCAACTCCTACGCCTGTGTGTGTGTGCGCGCGGGGACACACACACACACACACACACACACACACACACACACACACCTGAAAAAATAGAAAAGAAAGGGAAAAGAAAAGATTATATGCTTCCAGAAACAGTCAAAGTACCACACCCTGAGCCAGAACTGGTCTAAATCCATAGGCTTCACAGCTCTTCCCCTCCTTGACACCTCTTCACTGCCCCAGCTTTACGTCTTTCCTCCACCACTCTCTGACCCTGTCATCCTCATGTCTCCCGGTGACTGCTGCCCCAGGCCCTTTGCACTGCTGTTCTGTGATGTTCCAGCCTTTGCTCTTTATTCTTTCTCAACTGGCTCTTTCCCTGGCCCAATCTCCACCATCACCCACCTCTCCCAAGCTGAACCCTATGCTCCAGGCACTCTAGGCTTTCCTTCTGCAAAGAACCTACTAGAATGCCCAAAGTGTGGCCACATTTAAAATCCCAGCATTTGGAAGACTGCAGCAAAAGGACTGCCATAAATTTGAGGCCAGCCTGGGGTACAGAGTCTCAGAAGGAAGAGAAGGAGGAGGAGCAGAGGGAGGAGGAAATATTACTAGAGGGCGGGGAAATGGCTCAGTGGCAGAGCAGGCACGAGGCTCTTGTTTTGAGCTGGGGGAAAAGAAAACGATCATTGACATTGCATTGCATAACACTTTATTATTGGTTTGCCTCTCCCAGGAGAACACAGACTTTGGAAGGTAGGGGGTTTCCTTAGTTCCACAATTTAGGTTCAGCCTGAGATGACCTAGGAGTGGCTAGGGTGCAGCTCCTTGCATTTCCTAGCTGGGTAATAGTCATGGGAGGATTGAATGGCCCTACAATCTCCCCTCTGTGGGTTGGGATAGATGGGCCCACGAAGAGTTCTGAGTGTGGAGCTGGCCCAGTGAGGCTGGGGATCCCAGCCTTCTCACCAGCAAAACGGATTAGGGAGTGGTGGGACGCCATGGCTCTCCCTGTGGTCTTTCTGCCCTAGTCCTGAGTACCTCAGTCTGTAGGGATCCAAGATTGGTGGGAGTACCGATGGGTGGGTGCATGTTTGGTGATCCACAAATTATTGTTGGAATCCATTCCTTTGGTAGCAGCTGGTGGCTGAGTTCAGAAAGGAGAGTCCAGACTGCCCCAGGAGGATCGGGGCTATGTTGTCATGGTGTCTCCCAGCCTCTTTGGGGTCTGAGGCTGGCTGGATGACTGTCCCCTTATGAATGCTTGGGTAGGTGCCCTGGAAGCAGCCACTCTAGACGGGGATAGGGGTTGAGGCCACGAGCCGAGAGGGTTCTAGGCCCACAGCCAGAATGCAGGGAGCACTGAGTAAGGGCGCAGTCGCTGGAGGGGGCCATGAGAAGCTAGTGGGAGGTCAGGGTAAAGGAAGCACCAGGTGAGGGCCTTGGACCTGGCCAGTGGCGCCTGGAGGAGCTGGAGTTTAGGACTCTGCAGCAGCTCCCAGCAGCAGCAGCAGGGTTCCGGCCAGCAGAGTCAGGGGCAGCGGGGTGGTGGCTGGGCCTAGGCTACCGGCGCTGCTCTGGACAGGGGTGGTGGTCTGGCTGGTGGTGGTGGTCTGTCTGGTTGTCGTGGAGGTCTGGCCCGGGGCTGTTGCACTGCTGTCGTCCGCAGGGGGCGCCAGACCGCAGTTGGTGTAGGGCTCCAGGCAGCCTGCAAAGGCCATGACGTGGGCGATGTAGTTCTCCTCCTGCACTCCGTGCAGCAGGTGTGCCTGCGGGCCACGCGCAAATATCGCCACGTCCTCCCCGCCGTGGGTCTCCGACTTCACCGGCACAGCCGCCTGTTGCTGGTACGAGGGGTCACCTGGAGGGACAAGACGTTCAGCGAGAGGATCTCTGACGTAGTTCCCCTCTGCTCGACCCTCAGGCAAGCCACACCACGGCACTCACGGCTTTCAGCGGCGGTGACGTTGGGTCTTTCGCCTGTACCAACGTAGCCTGGGCCGTTGCCGTACAGGATGGAGGTGTAGGACTTGCCATCCAGAGCTTTGAGGGGTGCCAGCCCTGCATAGAGGAAGAGAGACACCGTGTCCTCCCAAGGACTGAAGCTTAGACGCTCCCCCAGCTTTTGTCTGGCTGGTAGTTCAGTCGTTGCTAGATTCCCACAAGGCAAGCTCCCTCTTGTGTTCATTTAACAGATGGAGAAACTGAGGCTCAGAGAAAGTTCTGTATGTAATTGATGCAACCCCAAACAAACAAACAAACAAACAACCTGCCACTCTCCCCAGGGCCTACCGAAGATGGAGGTGCCCCGAAGTGTATAGCCACCAAAGGAGAAGACATGGGAGTGATCAGCGGTGACTATGGTCAGTGTGTCCTTCTCGCTGGTGAGCTGGCTGGCCTTCTCGATGGCTGTGTCGAACATGACAGCCTCAGTCAGCGCCAGATAAGCTGTGCCCAGATGGTGACCACGGTCGATTCGGCCCCCTGCAGGAAGCCAAGGAGCTTGAGCTTGAGCCTGTCCCTGCCTGTTGTCCCCCCTTTTCATGGGGTCCTGGAGACTCACCCTCCACAAAGAGGTAGAAGCCTTTGGGGTTCCTGCTCAGCACCCTCAGGGCTGCCTCTGTCATGTCCTTCAGAGATGGATCCATCAAGGGGTCTCGTTGTATCTCGAATTTTGTGTCTACAGGCTCAAAGAGGCCTAGGGGACAGAAACAAGAGGATGGTGACCACCAAGCTTGGTAGTGGGGTCATGGTGCATACACATACATTTTCAGAGGTTGCCAACTGAGGGGTACTGAGACAGGAAGTGGGGGGCCGTTACCCATGAGGTATGTCACTGATGGATCCAGGGACTTCTGGATGAGTTCTTCACGGTTCCAAACATACTGGGATCCCTAGGGCCACATAAACAATTGGTAGGTCCCACAGCCCTTCCCTGGTCTCTGCTGTGCCACGATTGTGCCCCTCATCACCTGGTGCTTCGACAGCCATTCCTGCACCAGGTTCCGGCCATCAAGCCTAGTTCCGGTCTGGTTAACATCGTTTGGATACTCAGGGTCTGGGGTTCCTGCAGGAAACATGTATTTTCGACCCCCACCAAGGATCACCTACGGTCAGAGAGGATCAAAGAAGGTGGACTTTAGGACCTCTGCCGCCTTTCCAGCCAGTCCCCAGCTCCCCCTACGAAGTCTAGGGGAACTATTGAGCCCTCAGAAACCCTGGAGGGTCCAGGGAGCTAGTCTGCATGTTGTTTGGGACAGCCCCCTCCTCCAGCCTCTCCCACCTGCCCTTCATTCCTTACGTTAATGTCCATGTTGGAGATGAGTTGTGTGGCAATGTCCTTGCAGCCCTCCTGTAGTGCTGAGGCCGGCATATCAGCATCCCCATACCAGTTACGGTTCACCGTGTGAACATAGGTGCCCGCCGGAGAGGCGTGCTGCACCCTGGTGGTGGTCACCACTCCCACAGATTTTCCTGAAGACAGCACAGGTCAGGGTGAGACATCCAGTACCCCAGGTCTGCCCCTGTCCCCGAGCCAGGCTCCAACCCACCTGCTTGCTTGGCACGATACATCACTGAGATGACCTCGTTGCCAAATGTGGTGTTGCACTGGTCAAACCGAGCAGCTGCACTCACACCAATGGTCTTGTAGTTGGTCTTGACCCCGCACAGGTAGGCTGTGGCTGTGCTTGCGCTGTCTGGGACTTGTCTGTCCACACTGTATGTCTGGGGACAGAGAAACCCTCAGGTGGGCTCAGAGCAGATATTTATTTCTTCACCAGAGCCTGGGGCCTGCATGCCAGGCGCCTAACTGGGCTCTCTATCTCCAGGGTCCTCTCTGTCACCCTTTCCCTGGGTCCTTGTCAGCCTCTTCCCCACATCTCACCATAAGTGTCCCAGTTCTCACCTTGGACAGAGCCATGTATGGGAAGCTGTCCATGGCTAGGGGTGTCTCAGGTCCTAGATGACCTTCCAGTTGTCCCTTTAGGATCCGAGTTGCTGTTACTGTGGGCACCCCCATTCCTGAAGGAACAAAACCTGGTTAGGACTGAACCCCCAGGCCTGTCTGAACCCACCAGTGACCTTGGGTGGTACCTGGAGTGCAAGGGACCCAGGGTGGCCAGGCCTTGCACACTCACCATCCCCCAGGAAGATGATGAGGTTCTTGGCTGATGTCTGAATGGGCTGCAGCTTCTTGGCAACATTCAGGGCCTCGGCTGCCTTTTGGTTCCAGAAGGCTGGGTTCTCCTCCTCCACTGGCCAAGGGAATACAGAGGAAGGGTTAGACTGAAGGCCCATGTGTGTGAATGGAGCAAGCATCTGAAGGATCCTCATTACCTGGGATGACACTAAGTGACAGCTGTAGCTGGAGACCCAGCAGCAGCAGCAGACAGGCTCCCTGCATGGCTGGGTCTGGTGGTGGGACTGCAGAGATGGAGAGCAGGGACGCCAGGGTACCAACTAAGGCACAGTCTGCCTGGGCTTAAATAGGGGAAGACTTTGTTCCTAGATGAACAATCTCGTGTTCCTCCCCTGGATCCAGGTGGCCACACTGGCTCCACCCCTGCCCTGTGAATAGAACTGAACCCCTGCTTACTGGAGGAAAATGGCAGGGTGTGTCTGGTCCAGCCTGGACCAGGGTCCCGACAGGGTAATTTCTATGTGTTCTCCCCAGGTAAGGCGCTCAGCCACCTCTTGCTCATGCTGTCCCCACACGTCACTCTCGCCCCTGAGTCAGGGGGACTAGACTTTGTTCTGGGTGTTGAAGGTGGGTGGGTCTGGAAGGACACAGCTTTGATTTGACGAGGGGCTTTTATTTGGCCTCCTGATGCCAGGAACCACACTGACAAAGGAAACAAGCATATTGAATGCCCTGAATGCCCTGCTGTCCACTTGGCCCCTAATTATGCTTTCTCTTTGTTGTTTGTTTGAAACAGGGTTGCACACAGAGAAAGGAATATCACTCACAGTGGTCACAGACAGGAGCAACCAACCATGTGCTATGGTTTGGATATGGCTGGAGCCTGTCTCCCACAGGTGTGTACGTTGCATGCTTAGTCCCTAGCTTGGTGACGATGCTAGGAGGTGATGGAACACTTAAGGGGTGGAAGGGAAAGGTGACTGGGCCATTTGAGGCTATATTCTTAGAAGGGGTTATCTTATTTCTCACGAGCTCCTATGTAGTTCCTACTAGAGGTGGTTATAATAAAAGACTAAGACTGACTTCTCCTTGTGATCTTTCTCTCTGTCCCCCATGGCCACATCATGGTGCTATTCACCATGGGATGTAGTGAAGGGGACCCTTATGACATCTAAGCACACATGAGAGCCAGGGCATTGAACCTCCAAACCTATGGAAAGAAACCTTTTTTTTTTTTGGTTTTTCGAGACAGGGTTTCTCTGTGTAGCTTTGGAACCTATCCTGGCACTCACTCTGGAGACCAGGCTGGCCTTGAACTCACAGAGATCCGCCTGCCTCTGCCTCCCGAGTGCTGGGATTAAAGGCGTGCGCCACCAACGCCCGGCTAGAAACCTACTTTTTTTATTCACTCCCCACTGTCAGGTACTTTGCTATTACAATGGAAAATGGAATTATGCACCAAGTGTCCTTAGTTGGATGAATGGATAAACAAGAAGTGGTCCACAGAAGTAATCGAATACCATTAGCCAGAAAAGAGAAGGCAATCTGCCATGTGCAATTACAGAGCTCAGGAGTTGGAGGTGGGAGGATCTGGAGTTCAAGGAAGCCCTGGCTATACATCGAATTAAAAGATAATATGATGAACACCTTTAATCACAGAACTGGGGAGGCAGAGGCAGGAGGATCTCTGTGAGTTGAGACCAGCCAGGTCTACATATTGAGTTCCAGGTCAGGCAGGGACTATGTAGTGAGACTCTGTCTCAAAAATTATAAATAAATAAAAATACAGATTTTAAAAGTTAACATGTGATGAGAGAGAGAGAGAGAAGGGGGTTGGTGCTAAGGCTCAGTAGCAGAGTGCTTGCCTAGCACAATAAGGCTCTAGGTTCAAGCTCCAGTGCCATGGGCCAAACCACTACCACCACCACCAATCACCACTACCAAAACAATCTCAAATCAAACTCAAACCAACCAAAATCAAAACCAAGGGAATCCTGACTGCAGGATGACTGACTCATCACACTGCAGTGTGGATGAGCCTTGACAAAACTGGGTTAAGTGAAATCAGCCCATCACAAAAGCACAACACTGTCATATCCTTCTTGGGTGCCTTAACATTTTCTACACAGAAGAATGATGAGGTTCTGCAGAGATGGCCAGAGTTACAAGCGCATTCTGTCCCTGTACAAGATCCAAGTTCAGTTCTCAGCTCCCAGCTGAGACACTCACAGCCGGGACACTCACAGCTGCCTGGAACTCTAGCTCCAAGGGGTCTATCTGATGGCTTCCGTGGACGCCTGCACTCCCACAGCACATACCAGTTCTCACACATACTTACACGTAATTAAAAAGAAAACGAGGGCATGTGGGAATGACTGGGTGGTTAAACGCACTGGCTGCTCTTCCAGTGGACCCAGATTCGATTCCTATCTGTTGCTCTAGTTCCAGGGGAGTCCTAGCCCTCTTCTGTCCTTTGAAGGCCCCACACACACACACACACACACACACACACACACACACACACCCTCCCTAAACACACATACATATAAAATAAAAATGGGTAGGGGTGTTAGAAAATCTTTTTAAAAGGTATAAAAAGTTTCCATTTAACGAAGTCCATGAAAACAAAAAAGAAAAAGCAAAGAAGGGTGTTGCATAGCCAGGGCCTGGGGGAGGGGAGATGGGTGGGGAGATTTTGTCTAATGGGTTCAGTGTCTCAGTCTTCAAGATGTTCTGGTCATGTACTGCACAGTCACGTGGAGTCCATAACACTGCACACCTAGAACAGACCCCGAGGGAAGTCCCTGCCTCCTGCCAGTGCTCTAACCACTCCCTCCATTTCCTGTGTTGTCCTGCGGTGCTAGGAAAATTAATTTTTCAAGTTTATCAAGAAATGATTTTATGGCCCCATAGTAATTACACATATTAATGGGTACAACGATAATTCAATCCATGGTACAATACTGAATAAGGAAATCAGAGTAATTAGAGTTTTCATCTCCTTAAATATTCCTTTGTGCTGGGAGAGGAAACTTCTTGGCTAAAGTTCAGGGGCTATTGGCTACTGGAGAAGCACTTAATCAATTAATTAAAACACACACACACACAAACAAGTTATAGGTTAAAGGTCATGGCTCTGCAGTGAGTGTTCAGGCTTAGCCATGACACACCATTTCCCTTTACACTTTTAAACTTCTTCCTCTTATTCTTTTCCCATCGTCATCATCACCACCACCTTCGCCATGACACACCATTTCCCTTTACACTTTTAAACTTCTTCCTCTTATTCCTTTCCCATCGTCATCATCACCACCACCTTCATTGTGTGTGTGTGTTGTGTGTGTGTGTGTGTGTGTGTGTGTGTGTGTGTGTGTGTGCTCATGCCATGTGAGGGTCAGAGCACATCTTTGTGGAGTCAGTTCTCTCCTGCTTCCTTTACCTAAGTTTCAGGGATTGAACTTAAGCCACCAAGCTTGTGTGGCCAGCAGCTTTACCTGCTGACACATTATGCTGGCCTCTATTCCTGTCTGAAATTGTAATGTTGGCATAACTGTAGATGCATATTTATAGTTGCAAGAAATAGGATGAGCTGGCTTACCAGGGCATGGGGAAAGTGTGAGGGACTTAGCCAAACACTCCTGGGACACTGTTCCCCTGTCCCTAGTTTGACAAATATGAATTTGTGTGGGGATGTGAGAGTTTGCTCAGGGTTCCTAACCCCTTCCGTTAGTTTAAAGTATTTATTTTCATTTTTAGTTATGTGTGTACATGTGTAGGTGTGTGCACGTGAGTGCAGAGGCCTGCGAAGTCCAGAGGAGGGTGTGGGATTATCCTGAGTGTTACACATGTTTGCATGTCATCTGAACTTGGGGCTGGGAATGCAACTCGGGTTTTCTGTCAGAGTGGCACATACTCATAACCAGTGAGCTATCTTTCCAGCCTCCTTCTTCCCTGCCTTTCTATCTTCATCTCCTTCTTATTTCACATGTCTCTGGATGTAGCCCAGACACCTGAATCTTGAGATCTTGCTCCAGCCTCCTGAGGGCTGGGATTATAGGTGTGTGCCATGACGACCAGAATGGGTTCAGGTCACTGCCATGGCCAAGTTCCCCCATATCTCTAAACCCACCAGACCCCTCTGCAGCCATTCACTGGCCTCCCCTACCCTCTTCTTCTGTTCCTATCCCCGAATCTAGTAATCCACATCTCTGTTTCAAAATACTGTCATTTCTAAGAAATTGTGTCAATGGGCTGAAATCCTTTGTCATCTTTGGAAGCAAGATTTCTCACTCAGTATAATTCTTTGGAGAGTTGCTCAAGCATGTGTTAGTACCCCACTCCTCTGTGTGGCTGACACAGGATGGATGGATCACCTTGTCACTTTCAGGTTTAAAATGCCATCTGGTCTCCCAGCCTTTTTGGGAGACTAGAGGTAATTGGGCCAATCGTGGTGTCACCTCTTTGTAGGGCCTTAGTGAACATCTTATCACGAATGCGTGACTGAGCTCTCTGTCTCTGTAGATGTTTCCTTACAGCTTGACCACTGTCACAGTGTTGCCCCTGGATGGAAAAGCTTCTACAAAACCATGACAAGTGCACACTGCTGATTGGGGATGATGATGGGATGGAGTCCCTCTGTAAATGTCCACCAGGCCCATCAAGGGATGGATGCGTTTCAGTAAAACACACCAACAGAGTTTTGTTATATTCCCAGGAGTATGTGCTACTCAGGGGCAAGCATCAATTATAAACCATGGTAACAGACTGGAAACAGCAAACTACAGCAACATTTTCTCACAATTTGTACTGTTTTTGTCTAGTCTATGAGTAATGGGATCTAAAACTTATACTATCTTTATTTATTTAGTATTTCTTCATTTTGGCTTACTTGAGGCAGGTTCTTGTAGCTTTGATTGGCCTTGTAGTAGCTATATAGCCCAGGTTGGCCCCTAACTATTGACAGTCCATCTGCCTCAACCTCATGAGTGCTGAGATTACAAGTACCTACTATAAGGCTGGCACCTACTATCATAGCTGCCTCAACATACGTATTTATTTATTTATTTTGAGAGAGATGGATCCTAGGCTGGCCTCAAACTTACTATGTAACTGAAGATGACCTTGAACTTCTGTTCTCCCAAGTGCCACCGAGTCAAGTTTACACAGATCTGGGGATCAAGCTCAGGGCTTAGCATGTTAGGCAAACACTTTATCAATTTAGCTACATATTCATACCCTATTGGTTCTTTGAGAAAGTGTGTCCT